AGTTGAGCAAAGGCAAAGATGTAATTTTCAGTAATGTTTTTCAGAGTACGCCATCAACTGATGACTTACATGTTGACGATTCCATTAAAAGTCCTAAAGAAGACAAGCCACGTGAAATTACAGATTCACAGGGAGATGAGGTTGACTCGACTGTTTTTTATCACATGAGTCTTGAAAAGCCTAGTGCATCCCCAGCAAAGGCTGCTAGTACTTTGGCTGTTGAATCTGAGGAGAAGAACATCCCGATTAGAAGCACAGTTGGGCCTGACAATGAAGAAGAAGATATAGTCGTTGCATGTCGAATGGATAGTGAAGATGAGGAGAATGTAATAGATAACGAAACAGTCAGTGATCTGGACATAGCCGTTGAAGTTACTTTCGACAATGAGAGCCATATAAGTGAGGTCGCTGAGGATGATCTACAAGAAATATATGTCCAGGATGATCTGCAACAAGGACTGTTCTTTGGCAAGGAATTCTTTGATAACAACGAAGATACAGATGAAAAAGAAGACAATCATCGTGAATCTACTGTTGAAAAAGACTCTGAAGATGATTCTCAAGAAGAAAAGATGAAAGAGGACAATGGTCAACATGAAGCAAAGAAGCAAGACGTGGCGGACAGAGCATCTTCTCTGAAAGAACCCACATCTCCAGGAAATTCCATGTTCTTTCGCAGCAACTGGAGCTATAAATATTAGAATTTTTTAATTAAATGTGCAGGGCAGTGCAATTAAATCAATTATGTAATCATCAAATTAATTAGATTTATTTTTCAATACAATGAGTAGGACTTTTTGCAATTATCATATTCAGCCTTGATGAATTATAGTATACATAACGAAAATATTGTTAGTGCCATTTTGTAAATTCGGCTTCAATGTAAACAAATTTATACTTTATGAAACTTTTTGAAAGATTTATTTTTTCCTTAAGCTTTATCTCTGGAAAGGCGTGAAAATGTTACTATTACTCAGACGAAATTACAACGGTAACGAAAGGTGCTAAGATATTAGTAATTGACTTTCCCATTATGTCTAGTGTTACGTTTGTGGATCCAAGCAGAGAGAGACGTAGAATGATCAAGACACTTGTACTTTGTAACTCTGATTCTGATCGTCAACTGAATATCAGTACTCTAACCCTTACTGATATATCCCTGGTTAATGTAGCATGTAGATTGAAACCAAAAGATTGAAACAGGTAGTGCTGCCCCAATCAGGCAATATCCTAGGCGCCTACCAAAATTGAAATATGCTGCAGCAAAAAGTAATTTAACCTAGTAATTCACCATGGGCCTCCCCTATTGTTTTGGTCAAGAAAAAAGAGGGCTCTTTCCGATTTTGTGTTGACTATTGCAGGCTTGATGCGGTTATTCGGAAAGATGCCCATCCCTTGCCCCGAGTTGATGATCGTTTAGCCTCTTTTCAGGGGCTTCACTCTTCAGCACTTTGGATCTTAGATCACGTTACTGGCAAATCAGTATGGAACCCAAAGACAGGAAAAAGTTTGCATTTGCATAACTCCAGATGGTCTATGGGAGTTTGTTCGTATGCCCTTTGTTTCAAACGGTTGTGCAACCCTCCAGAGGGCCAAATAAATTGTTCTTTCTGGCTTAACATTTGAGAACTGTCTATGTTATT